ATAAGAACCAAGATGCATCATGTAAAGGTACAAGTTCCCAATGAGAAATGTAATTGTGCTGTATACCTACAGTGTACCAATGAAAGAATTTAATTAAAAAAATTTTTGAGAAAACAGGTTATATATTAAGAACCAAAGATGTTTTTCTTGGAATTTAATGAGCAATGAGTAAATCTTACATCTGAAGTGAATTAATATTTATTTTTGATGTCATCATTCTGTACATCCAACATGTGTGTCCTATTTATTTCACTTAAGAGGATAGCCTCAATATGCATCCATTTAGCTATAAATGTCTCTAGTTTCTGGTTCTTCATGGCTGAGTAGTATCTACTTAGTTTAGTTAATTCTCCCTTGAATTCTCTTGTTTTTCCCCTTTTCTATTCTGCTGATTTTCTTGCCACTTCTTCACATCAAGCACATTCATGCCTCAGGCCCTTTGCTCTTGCTGTGCCAGTGTGGATGTTCTCTCTCCACTCAGGAACCTGACTCCATAGACCCTGTCCTGGAGCCCTTCCCTGACCACCTTCTTCAGCTGCACAGTGTCCTGTCACCAAGCACACTGTCCCCAAGAACACTGTCCCCACCTCCTCATTCTCTGCACTTCGTATCGACCCTTTTCTGAATTCGAGGTGAAGCAGCCCAGATACACAAAACAAATATTTAACCATGACATTTGCCTCTACCAAGAAAGGACTGATAATCTTGGGAAATGCAGAACCCACATGCCAGCACTTACAGATCGACTTAGAACTGTCCCAGGGCCAGGGAGAGACTAGGACAGGATGGAAGGCACAGCTCTGGTCTGCACACACACTAGCAGCTTCGTGTGCTTCAGTGGGCTCCTGAAACTCTGCCTGCCTTTACAGTTGTGATATTGAGGAACAACCAGGTTTAGTGTCAGCCTGGCTGTCCCAGGGACTGCCTGCAGCAACACCACCTTTCCTCAGAGTTTATAGTGTAAAGCAAGACTGCATTCACTGGCAGTAGATTAGGGTCATGTCAGGGTTTGTGTCTAGATGTTCCCCAAAGCCTCCTGTGGTCATGGGCTTTTTCAGAGGTGACTTGATCTAGAGTGTGTGACTCTGGAATTGATTCATGATGTGATGCTGGGCCAAAAGGCAATAGGATGAAGGCTGGAGGGCTACCTACCCTAAGTAGTCTGGATAAGACAAGAGGAGCAGAAAGGTGCAGCAAAATTCCTTGTTGCCTTTGCTCTCTTCCACCCCATGAAATGTTGCCCCTCTTTCTCTGCCACCCTGCCTTGGAGCCAGCTGGTTATGGACTGAAACCTCTAAAACTGTGAGCTAAATAAACCTTTCTTCCTTTAGCTTTGGATGTTGGCTATTTTGCCTCAGCAACTAGAGAAACTTAACTAAGTGAGAATGTAACCTAAGAACTCTGGAATGAATTTAGCAACTTACTCATGAAACATAGAATAGGCTGATATAAAACACAGCACCATGAGTCCTGCCTGGGGACAGAGGATCTGAAGGAGCCACAGGGCTATAAGACTTGTGGCCCAGATCTCTCAGACATCTCTTCCAGCCAGTACCACCTGTGGCTGTTAGCATTGGTCTTGGACTAAAGTCCAACTCAACAATAGAGAGTCAACAGCAGTGCGAACCTTTGTTCCATCCAAGTGATGTGGTCGTATTGGCAGACTGTGGGTTTGAGTGTGCCACAGAACTGCAATATTGATAGCCAAGACTTTGGCCTAAATCTTTAAATCCATGGTGACTCTTCTAGGACCTAGGTAGAACTCTGAACTGCCTTATCACAATGAGCTGATGAATGTGGACAGGGTCTTTCCACCTACCTTATAGTTACTGAAAGGCTTGCTAGCATGGGCTATTCTTCCTAGGCAGTCCCCTGGTCATGCTAATAATGACACCAAATGTGAGTTGGGACAAATCTGTGCTTGCCTTGCCTCCTACTTCTGTAGCAGTGACAACACAACAACAGCACACCTCTGGCAGAACAGAACTCGGATGATGTCCAGTGCTGAACTATGGGAAATAATACAGGCTCAGAGAAAACAAGCAGCTTAGAATTTCTAGATAGACAGGACATGACTCAAATCAGATTTGGAAGACTGTACTAAACACTCCATCAGTGCCCATATATTCTTCAAACTGAAAGAGACACTAATGAATAAGAAATAAATATGAAACTCTAAAAAGTTCCCTGACATTAGTAATTATAGAGACAAATCCAAAACTCTGTAATATTGTAATCATCTTATAAATACTGCTCATATCTTTAGCATGAAGGCTGGAAACACTCAAAATAATGCTAACTACGTTACTGTGTTACAAGATGGACAATACTGAGAGGGGTAATATGAGACACCAAGAATATAAAATAGGAAGGAATCAAGTGCTGTGGCAGAGCTTTCTTTTGCACAAATTTCTGAAGTTCTATTCTGTTCTTAACTTTCACAGTAATCTTAAGCAACTATCATTTCAAAAAATCTTGTTATAAGTAAAAGATGGTTTTCATAAGATTTGCAGTATATACAAGTAAAAATTATACAACAGACAAACCAAATACAGTAAGTAAAAATTAG